AAGCCAACTTTGGAAAGTTGAGAAACTGAAAGAAAAAAGCAAGAAAAGTATTGGTTTTGACTTTGTAACATGATTTTTTTACCTCTCTGTAAACTTGAATCAACGTTATAGGAAGATCCACCAAAGTGAAGTTTTTGGGTTTGAATTCGATGCGGGGATTGACATATTTCCTGGCTTCAGGTCCAAACTGAAACTGACGACGTATTTTAAGGGGAATATCAGTTGCCTGCCTTCTCCTTCTTTTCCCTCCCCCCGCCTCGCCCTCCCTCCCTTTTCCCTCCTCTTAGAATCGCAACGGTGCGACGTACTTGTCTTTGATATATTTTGCCAGACTTTGCCTTTGCACTGACTAATTACATGATCAGCCTCGATTGGTTCATACCGATTTTTTTGTTGGAAATATGGCTTGTAAAGGCTGTTGTGATTTTACGAATAAAAAATGTTTACATTTTTAGAGAGAGCTTTTTTTGTTTCTTAAGGATTTTGTAGTTGTCGAAGCCACTTTGATTTTGATAGGTATACATCTTCAGGGAAATTCCTGTCGACACGAAACTTATCCAGAATGCTGGTTTACATTCGATCCCAACTATGACCAAGTCTCCAACAGGTACATTTTCGTTCTTTTTATTCAAGGAAGTTCGTATAACTTCTATAACTTGTTTATTGTGAAAGATGAGACCTCTGTATTTACTAGTCAGAACCACCCTCGTACCTAAAGGATCTTCGAGAGATGCAACTGTGGACAGCCGAGTCTTTCCTTTATGTATGAGCCTATAATGGTTTTGGCCGGCATCAGTTTTCCATTAAAACTCCTGAACGGATCATGAAGGATTAGTTGCTCCATTAGCGAATTCGAAGCGTTGGCTTTTAGTTTGAGAACAACGCTGTTTGCTAGTGCTAGCAGTTCAAAACGAAAGCTTTAATTATTGAACAGGTGCAGTTTGAGGCCATTTCTCTCCATCATTTTAGAAAAGTGGATAGTAGGCCAGTCGATGGATAATCGCATCGTTTTATTCCAATTGATTGACGACAAATTGCGTTTTGCGAAGAAAAAAGCATTCAAGGGACACAATGTTGCGGGCTATGCCTGTTCTGTGGATTTCTCGCCCGATATGAGGTGACTTTTCCAGTTTCCGTTTATTTTTAAATTTTGTCAAGATTTTAGCAGTAGGGTTGTATAAATTAGATCAATACTGGTTTGTTCACAAATATGTTTGCAACACGGACAATAGTTACGTTGCTCTTCACAGTGAAGTTGAAGCTGCTGCAACTACGTATTGGTCCGTTATCATTGGTAATAATGATTTTTTTTAGCTTCCTGACATCTGGAGATGCGGATGGCAAGGTGTTCATTTGGGATTGGCGGAACCATAAAACGGTAGCACGATGGAAAGCGCACGATGACTGTGTCATTGCGACATTGTGGCATCCACACGAAGCATCCAGAATGATAACTGGAAGCTGGGACAGTGTTATCAAAATGTGGTCATAACCTCCTCATTCTTTTTTTGTCCAATTTTTCATTAATTTTTTTAAGCGGCTGTATGTACATAGTTGTATAAAAAATGACTATTGGCAGAATTCCAGGCATATAAAATGAAAGTGTAAACTTTTTTTCACTGGTTGATTCGTAATAATATATCCCTCTTCTTCCGAGCCATTCCTCATACAAGTGTGTTTTTTGTTCACAGTACATTTCATTAGAATATAATTGAATTTTAATAAAGAATTAGAATATATGTGTTGAGGATTACGCAGCTTAACTGTATGAATAATCGCTGAAGAAAGTGAATGTTCCAAAAGCTGAGTAAGTCATTCACTAAAATAGCACATCGAAAAGTTGAAAAGTGTTTTTCTGGAAAAAAAGTAAAGGTGCAGGTAAGAATTTTCATTTTTTTCAGTAAAAGTGCGGTTTAATTTTACTGTTTTTAAGTCTTTGCATTTCTCATGAAAGGAGAAACACTCTTACCTTGATACTTCAGTCATGTGTTGTTTCAGCTTCATATTTCCTCTTTTCATTGGTACAACTTAGAATTTCTCGATTTTTCTCTGTTGGTTTTAGTAGAACGGTACAGTTTTTCGCTAGCTAACATCATTTTCACTAACGGTAATTTTCCTCACAGAGACCAATTAAAAATTGTTTTGGATGGATTTCCCAATGCCGGCTTGAAATGCATGGACAGTGTTGCTGTTGTTCACATTATTTTGTTTTCGTAATTAAAATAAAGGATTAATGCTTTATTTTTTTCCCATTGCACAGTGGATTTTTCGTTTATCAGTTTCATACCGGAATATCCAAAATATAATCATTCTTACGTTTCCGTTTTCATACTTATTCTATCTGGTTATTAACTTTTGCTTGTAACGGAATGGAAGGGAAGGCCACGAAATCAAGAAGTAAAGAGATAGTGGAGAGCATATATTGTAAAAAAATGTTCAGGAGATGTAATGTGAACCTGTGGGAAGGTTAAATGTAAACTTGGCTGTCTGCGTTTCATCCCTAAGCTGCAAACACAGACAGTATTTG